ATTATATATAGTTCCAATTATATACAGTTGTATAATTCAATTATATATATATATCGTATTAGTGGCTTTAGGTATTGTATGTACTAGCTCTATCTATAAATCCAAAATTATGTTTGTAATTCATCTTATGTGTATGTACCTTTACCTGAATACTAAATCTAAATCTAAAATAAGTGGCAAGCCGGCCTTGACACTCAGACCTGAGCGCTCACCTCTCGGGGTCATCACTGAGATTACTGCCGCTACCAGAGGCTGAGATTACTGCCGCTACCAGAGGCTGAGATTACTGCCGCTACCAGAGGCTGAGATTACTGCCGCTACCAGAGGCTGAGATTACTGCCGCTACCAGAGGCTGAGATCACTGCCGCTACCAGAGGCTGAGATCACTGCCGCTACCAGAGGCTGAGATTACTGCCACTACCAGAGGCTGAGATTACTGCCGCTACCAGAGGCTGAGATTACTGAGATTACTGCTGCTACCAGAGGCTGAGATTACTGCCGCTACCAGAGGCTGAGATTACTGCCGCTACCAGAGGCTGAGATTACTGCCGCTACCAGAGGCTGAGATTACTGCTGCTACCAGAGGCTGAGATTACTGCCGCTACCAGAGGCTGAGATTACTGCCGCTACCAGAGGCTGAGATTACTGCTGCTACCAGAGGCTGAGATTACTGCCGCTACCAGAGGCTGAGATTACTGCCGCTACCAGAGGCTGAGATTACTGAGATTACTGCTGCTACCAGAGGCTGAGATTACTGCCGCTACCAGAGGCTGAGATTACTGCCGCTACCAGAGGCTGAGATTACTGCCGCTACCAGAGGCTGAGATTACTGCCGCTACCAGAGGCTGAGATTACTGCCGCTACCAGAGGCTGAGATTACTGCCGCTACCAGAGGCTGAGATTACTGCCGCTACCAGAGGCTGAGATTACTGCCGCTACCAGAGGCTGAGATCACTGCCGCTACCAGAGGCTGAGATTACTGCTGCTACCAGAGGCTGAGATTACTGCGGCTACCAGAGGCTGAGATTACTGCCGCTACCAGAGGCTGAGATCACTGCCGCTACCAGAGGCTGAGATCACTGCCGCTACCAGAGGCTGAGATTACTGCCGCTACCAGAGGCTGAGATTACTGCCGCTACCAGAGGCTGAGATTACTGAGATTACTGCTGCTGCTACCAGAGGCTGAGATTACTGCTGCTACCAGAGGCTGAGATTACTGCTGCTACCAGAGGCTGAGATTACTGCCGCTACCAGAGGCTGAGATTACTGCCGCTACCAGAGGCTGAGATTACTGCCGCTACCCGAGGCTGAGATTACTGCTGCTACCAGAGGCTGAGATTACTGCCGCTACCAGAGGCTGAGATTACTGCCGCTACCAGAGGCTGAGATTACTGAGATTACTGCTGCTACCAGAGGCTGAGATTACTGCCGCTACCAGAGGCTGAGATTACTGCCGCTACCAGAGGCTGAGATTACTGCCGCTACCAGAGGCTGAGATTACTGCCGCTACCAGAGGCTGAGATTACTGCTGCTACCAGAGGCTGAGATTACTGCCGCTACCAGAGGCTGAGATTACTGCCGCTACCAGAGGCTGAGATTACTGAGATTACTGCTGCTACCAGAGGCTGAGATTACTGCCGCTACCAGAGGCTGAGATTACTGCCGCTACCAGAGGCTGAGATTACTGCCGCTACCAGAGGCTGAGATTACTGCTGCTACCAGAGGCTGAGATTACTGCCGCTACCAGAGGCTGAGATTACTGCTGCTACCAGAGGCTGAGATTACTGCCGCTACCAGAGGCTGAGATTACTGCCGCTACCAGAGGCTGAGATTACTGCCGCTACCAGAGGCTGAGATTACTGCCGCTACCAGAGGCTGAGATTACTGCCGCTACCAGAGGCTGAGATTACTGCCGCTACCAGAGGCTGAGATTACTGCCGCTACCAGAGGCTGAGATTACTGCCGCTACCAGAGGCTGAGATTACTGCCGCTACCAGAGGCTGAGATTACTGCCGCTACCAGAGGCTGAGATTACTGCCGCTACCAGAGGCTGAGATTACTGCCGCTACCAGAGGCTGAGATTACTGCCGCTACCAGAGGCTGAGATTACTGCCGCTACCAGAGGCTGAGATTACTGCCGCTACCAGAGGCTGAGATTACTGCCGCTACCAGAGGCTGAGATTACTGCTGCTACCAGAGGCTGAGATTACTGCCGCTACCAGAGGCTGAGATTACTGCCGCTACCAGAGGCTGAGATTACTGCCGCTACCAGAGGCTGAGATTACTGCTGCTACCAGAGGCTGAGATTACTGCCGCTACCAGAGGCTGAGATTACTGCTGCTACCAGAGGCTGAGATTACTGAGATTACTGCTGCTGCTACCAGAGGCTGAGATTACTGAGAATACTGCTGCTGCTACCAGAGGCTGAGATTACTGAGATCACTGCCGCTACCAGAGGCTGAGATTACTGAGATTACTGCTGCTGCTACCAGAGGCTGAGATTACTGAGATTACTGCTGCTGCTACCAGAGGCTGAGATTACTGAGATTACTGCTGCTACCAGAGGCTGAGATTACTGAGATTGCTGCTGCTGCTACCAGAGGCTGAGATTACTGAGATCACTGCTGCTACCAGAGGCTGAGATTACTGAGATTACTGCCGCTACCAGAGACTGAGATTACTGAGATCACTGCTGCTACCAGAGGCTGAGATTACTGAGATCACTGCCGCTACCAGAGGCTGAGATTACTGCCGCTACCATCAGTAACAGTAGCAGCAGTAACAGTAGCAGCAGTAACAGTAACAGTAGTAACAGTAGCAGCAGTAACAGTAGCAGTAGTAACAGTAGCATCAGTAACAATGGCAGCAGTAACAGAAGCAACAGCAGTGGCAGCATCAGGAGTAGTAGCAGCAGCAGCAGCAGAAGCAGTAGTAGCAGCAGCAGCAGCAGTAGTAGCAGTAGCAGTAGTAGTATCTGCAGTAACAGCAGGAGCAGAAGTAATAGTAGCAGCATCAGCAGCAGCAGCAGCAGAAGTAACAGCAGCAGCAGCAGTAGCAGCAGAAGTAACAGCAGCAGCAGTAGCAGCAGCAGCAGTAGCAGCAGCAGTATTAGTAGCAGCAGCAGTAGCAGCAGCAGAAGTAGCAGCAGTAGCAGCAGCAGCAGTAGTAGTAGCAGCAGCAGCAGCAGCAGCAGCGGCAGTAGCAGCAGCAGAAGTAGCAGCAGTAGCAGCAGCAGCAGTAGTAGTAGCAGCAGCAGCAGCAGCAGTAGCAGGAGTAGCAGCAGTAGCAGCAGCAGTAGCAGCAGCAGCAGTAGTAGCAACAGTAGCAGCAACAGCAGTAGCAGTAGTAGTAGCAGTAGCAGCAGCAGAAGAAGTAACAGCAGCAGCAGCAGCAGCAGTAGCAGCAGCAGCAGCTGTAGTAGTAGCAGTAGTAGCAGCAGCAGTAGCAGCAGCAGCAGCAGTAACAGCAGCAGTATCAGTAGTAGTAGCAGCAGTACCAGTAGCAGCAGTAACCGCAACAGTAGCAGTAGCAGCAGCATTACCAACAGCAGAAGCAGTAGTAGCAGCAACAGCAGCAGCAGTAACAGTAGCAGCAGTAACAGTAGCAGCAGTAACCGCAGCAGTAGCAGTAGCAGCAGTAACTGCAGCAGTAGCAGCAGCAGTAGCAACAGCAGTAGTAGCAGTAGCAGCAGCAGTAACCGCAGCAGTAGCAGCAGCAGTAGCAGCAGTAGTAACAGCAGCAGCAGTAGCAGTAGTAGCAGCAGCAGTAGCAGCAGCAGCAGTAGCAGTAGTGGCAGCAGCAGTAGCAGCAGTAGCAGTAGTAGCAGCAGCAGTAGCAGCAGCAGTAACAGCAGCAGTGGCAGCAGCAGTATCAGCAACAGTAGCAGTAGGAGCAGTAGCAGTAGGAGCAGCAGCAGTAGCAGTAGTAGCAGCAGCAGTAGCAGCAGCAGCAGTAGCAGTAGTAGCAGCAGCAGTAGCAGCAGTAGCAGCAGCAGCAGTAGCAGTAGTAGCAGCAGCAGTAGCAGCAGCAGTAGCAGCAGTAACAGCGGCAGTAACCGCAGCAGTAGCAGTAGCAGTAGGAGCAGCAGTAACCGCAGCAGTAGCAGTAGCAGCAGCAACAGTAGCGGTAGTAGCAGCAGCAGTAACCGCAGCAGTAGCAGTAGCAGCAGCAGTAACCGCAGTAGCAGTAGCAGCAGCAGCAGCAACAGTAGCGGTAGTAGCAGCAGCAGTAACCGCAGCAGTAGCAGTAGCAGCAGCAGTAGCAGCAGCAGCAGTAGCACTAGTAGCAGCAGTAGCAGCAGCAGCAGTAGCACTAGTAGTAGTAGCAGCAGTAGCAGCAGTAGCAGCAGTAGTAGCAGCAGCAGCAGTAGCACTAGTAGCAGCAGTAGCAGCAGCAGCAGTAGCACTAGTAGCAGCAGCAGTAGCAGCAGTAGTAGGAGTAGCAGCAGCAGTAGCACTAGTAGCAGCAGTAGCAGCAGCAGCAGTAGCACTAGTAGTAGCAGCAGCAGTAGCAGCAGTAGCAGCAGTAGTAGGAGTAGCAGCAGCAGTAGCAGCAGTAGCAGCAGTAGCAGCAGTAGCAGCAGTAGTAGTAGTAGTAGCAGTAGTAGTAGCAGTAGTAGTAGTAGCAGTAGTAGTAGCAGCAGTAGTAGCAGTAGTAGCAGCAGCAGTAGCAGCAGTAGCAGCAGTAGCACTACTAGTAGCAGCAGCAGCAGCAGTAGCAGCAGTAGCAGCAGTAGTAGGAGTAGCAGCAGCAGTAGCAGCAGTAGCAGCAGCAGTAGTAGTAGTATCAGTAGTAGCACTAGTAGCAGCAGTAGTAGCAGTAGTAGCAGCAGCAGTAGCAGCAGTAGCAGCAGCAGTAGCAGCAGTAGTAGCAGTAGCAGCAGTAGCAGCAGTAGTAGCAGTAGCAGCAGTAGCAGCAGCAGCAGTAGCAGCAGTAGCAGCAGCAGTAGCAGCAGTAGTAGCAGTAGTAGCAGCAGCAGTAGCAGCAGTAGCAGCAGTAGT